AAACTGGAGCGGCAGCGCGCGGAAGGCGAATCCGTTCAGGCGGTAGGCGAGGAGGTTGTTTGTGTGGTAGAGGGTCTGGAAGAGGAGGTAGGCGGCGACCAGCTGGCAGAGCTCGTAGCCGCGGCTGGACCGAGGGGGGCGGGGGGAGGGGGGAGGTGATGGTGATGGGTGAAAGGGGATATGGGCGGCTGGGCAGGGGTGAGGTGAGGGGTGAGGTGAGGGGTGAGGTGAGGGGTGAGGTGAGGGGTGAGGGGAGGGTGTGAGGGTGTGCGGGTGAGGGGGTGGGGGTGTGAGGGTGAGGGTTGAGTGAGGGTGAGGGGATGAGGGCGAGGGCACAGGGTTGAGGGCGAGGGCGACGGCTGCGCACCGTGCGGACAGTGTGGCGCACGACAGGTGGCCAGAGATGAGGCAAAAGGAAGGCATCACGACGGGCTTGAGGAGGGCGAGCACGGCCGACCAGACGGGGATGATGCCTACGCGCGCGACTCGGGCATGCTCGCGCACGTGTCTTGGACATGCACATGCACATGCACATGCACATGTCCCGCCGACCACACGCGGGAGGAGCGATGCCTTCAGGCCGGTCGGCGGACGTGTAGACGACGAGCGTGTGGTACACGACAACGAGGTAGATGAGCGCCGCCTTGGCGTTGTCCAGCAGCGGCACGCGCTCCCGCGCAGCCGCCCCCTCGCACGACGAGGACGCCGCCGCCGCCGATCTCTCGTCTGCGCAGCCGTCGCCGCCGCCAGCCGCGCCGGCGAAAGCAGCGGACGCGTTCACAGCTCGGCGGCTGCCGCCAGCGGCGATGACGCGGACGCCGTCGTCCGACCGCCGTTCGGACCACGCTTCCGGCGAGCGGCGGCCGCTTGGCGGAGGCGTCTCGCCCGGCGAGTCGTCTGCCGTCCGCCGCCGCTCCTCGAGCTCGAGAGCGAGGCCGAGCACCGACTCGGCGGAGGCGTCGCCATCGTGATGGGCGGCGCACTGCACGGGGAGCAGCGGCGCCGCGAGGGGAGCAGCCGTCTGCCGCGGACGCAGCGATGAGACGAAGCGCGACATCGCGACCTCCAGGCCCGCCTCCAGGCCCGCCGCTGACATCGTTACGGCAGAGACCAGATTGTGAATGAGCTTGCCTGCGTGCGAGGGAGGTCGAGCACGGAGCTAAGTGCCTCGCCGTCCTCGCGGGAGTCGCTTAGGCGGCTCCCGTGGTGTACCTGTGTTAGTGCCAGTGCGCGCCAGTCCCAGTCCCGTGCCTAGTGTCGTGCGAGGGAGTTTTGTTGTACAGTTGTAGGTAGGTAGGTAGATAGATAGAAAGGTGAATGAAGAACAGCCAGGCTCGGACTGGACACCAACGCGGTATGGGTGGACGCGAGACAGATGATGACGACACGCACGAGCGACTCACAGACACAAACAAGCTCACAAGACACACAGCCAGCTGGCTGCCACACACCCTGAGTTGGCGTACACATAACTCAGTCAGGGCCACATTCTTCCTGTCGCCCCCCCCAGCACTCCAAGGTGCCAAGAGAAACAAACAAGGGCACAACATCACAACAGACGACAGGAGTAACATGCGAGCTAGAGCAGCTTGCTCCACCTCTAGCGATCTCGCCGGCCGGCGAGGCACGGACGAGACCGTGTGTGGGGTCTAGTGAGGTGTCTATAAATAAATAAATAGAGCAGACATCTCCAGGAGAGATGGGCGACGCACGAACACAGAGGGACAGTGCGCACCCCGCCCCGCTCGCAGGGCGTGCAGCACACAGCAACACAAGACATATCTAGGCGCTGTGCGCCTCCTCGGGATTTCTAGAAGAAAGAATTTAAAGAAGAAAGAAAGAAAGAAAACAGACACGCCAAGGGAGGGATGGGAGGACGGCACGCCGCCACCACACAGGGATTTTAAGAAGAGGGGTGTGGTGCGCTAGCCGTCGCCCACCCTTGGGCGTCCGGGATTTCTATGGACGCCCTCCTCCGAAAAGAAAGAAAGAAAACAGACAACCCAAGGGAGGGATGGGAGGACGGCACGCCGCCACCACACAGGGATTTTAAGGAGAGGTGTGTGGTGCGCTATCCGTCGCCCACCCTAGGGAGTCTGCCTCTTCCTATCTCTCTTCGCAGTCTCTCGCCGATTCTCGCTGCAACCTTCATGCCACCTCGCGGTCGTCCCACCCTCGTCGTTCTCTCCCTTGTCACTTCCTCCTCTGTCGCGTTGTTCTCTTCTGCCTCGTCCTGCGACGCCGCCACCTGCCGGTCCCTTGTTCTCGCGGCTTCTTTCGCCTGTCGGCGCAACTCCGTCCTCCTCGCCCGACTTGGAGCACTTGGACTTGTAAAATTCTTCCCACAGCTTCCGCTCGACGGGAACGCTGGAGAGCTCGGCGCGTGCTGTGCTCACCAGTGCCCACCAAAGCGTGGGAAACCTGTGTTTGTGCCTCGAGCGCCACGATCGTCCTAAAACTGCGTCCGCCAGTCCGAAGCCGGCGCCCCGGCCAGGCTCGCGGCCCGGCCATCGGTCTTCATGTCCGTAGTCTTCACACCGCTGCTCACCGCGGCTGTGGCGCCCGCGGCGTGGCGCCTTCTCCAGGGCGTCCCCGCTGAGGTGGCGCTAGGAGCGAGCGGCTCGCTCCAGGGAGCGCCACCCTGCCTCGCCACGTTGGAAAAGGTGGGCAAGGGCCACGCTGCGGCGTGGCGGCTCGCGGACTTCCGTACTGAGGAGACCGGCATGCAGGCCCGCCTCGCGCTGGACCGCAACCCCGCCGAGCCGTGCTGCAAGCTCATGTTTGTCGGCGGTCGCAGCGGTCAGCGCGAGAAGCTCGGCCACATGCTGCTCGCGTGCGACGAGGATGGCTCCGCGCTTCGCGGCATGCGGATCCGAGAGGACCTCCGCGGACGTGGGCTGTCCAAGCTGCTGCTGGCGGTGTGGCTGCGCCTGTGCCTCGAGGCGGGACTCACGCCGCGCACGCGCACCATCAACAAGCCGCTCCTCTCCCTCTCGCTCGCGGCCTTTGGCTTCGCGCCCACCAACCAGCGAGGCATGCTCGTGCGCGTCTCCGCCGCCAAGCGCGCGCGCGACTGCGTCCGCAGCACCTCGGCGCACGCGCCTGGCAGGACCGCCTATATCCGCACCGCCTTTGAGGTCCTTTCCGCTGCCCCACGCCGCCGCCTACAGCACTAGTGCATCAGCTCCGTCCCACCCACACGCGCAGGCGCCCGACGCGGCCACGCTCCGCGCCGCCGTCGACCGGCAGCTTCGGCATGGCAACCTCGAGCTGGGCGTGCCGCCTGCGGCGCTGCGACGTGCGCTCACGCTGAGAGGAGGCTGTGGCGCCTGCACGCCAAAGCGCCGTGGTCGTCGACGGCCGCTTCCCTGTTGAGAATTTAGCTACACTGTGCATTTCGGGTTTGCATCGTCGTCCCGCGACAGCCGACACAAATCTGAATGATGATTGGGAGAGCCACATGACAACGCGCGCACACCCACACGACCACTCAACCAGGATCCTGCACACGAGCGTCTAAACACTAAAGCCGTGTTTAAAGCCGTAACCCCGTGTGGGGCGGCCCCTGGCGCGTGGGACCCCCGTGGCGCGTGGGTGCCGCGTGGGGGCGGGCTGGGCCTGGGGCGTGGCGTCCGTGGCCGTGGGGATCTGTGGGGGTCCGCCGTGCCACCGTGGCCTGACGACGCGGCTACGCGCACGCACTTGCGCACGCGCGGCTCTAAGGTCTAACCATTGTCATGTGTCAGCCCCTTGGAGTGTGAAGGCTTCGTAGCCCTCCGGTGAAGATCCGCAGGACTGGCTCGTGGCTGGAGCGAAAAAAAGGAAGCGAGTCGTCATGTGTACGAGCTCGGGCGGGGTGCGACAGCGCCACTACCCACCTAGGTGGGCAGTAGGAGGTAGGACACCGCAAAGCTGAGTCCGAGCGAGTGTGGGGGGGGCTAGCAGCGGCCCGGTGGCCGTCGATAAACGGACGGCGTGCGTCCCTCCCCGCCGCGCGCCCTCCAGAGACCAAAGAATGAACCATCATCGTGGCCGTGGCCGCGGCCGGTACACCCGGCAGGGGAGCAGCGGCCGCTGGGCACAGCCGCAGCGGAACGAGGAACGTGTCGCCGCCCAGAATGCATTCAATCTAGCGATCCACACTGGATCGACCCCGGAGGCGGCCAAGGCAGCTGGCGAGGCCGCAGCGAACGCGATCCGGATGGGGAGGCCTTACGAGGAGGCCGTGCGGGCGGGGGTGACTGCTGCGCGTGCCCACGCCGACGGCGCCTCCCGCCGCAAGTCGAACCGCTTCTCACTGCGCCGGAGCCGCAGCAGGTGTGCTTTGACACCCGTCTTTCTCTCATCCCTTGGCTGTCATAGCCAGTCGCTCCCATTCCAGCCGCAATGGACCCAACTCGCCCGTCCGCCCTCCGAATGTAGCGCAAGCTCCGCGTCGCTGCTGGGGGGACAGGCGTCCAGTGATGAGGAGCTGCGCCTCCGCCTCAACGCGCTGCGGGTCAACCTCTCTCTCCAGCGGCGATCGAGGCGGACAGTGATTCATCGAACCCTTCTCGACTAGGACACCCTTGCAGAGGAGCTCAAGGTCGAACCAGCCGAGATCTTCTCCGATGAGAGCATTCAGGCGCTGCTCGAGGCGAAGCCGGAGACGGCCGACGCCGTCCGCGAGGTGGGCGGCGAAGCGAGAGGGCACATTCCTCAAGACGGCGGTAAGAATGACTCACACACCGTGTATACTTGGCCACCGCGCCACGCCTCCGTTAGGCGGGCGGCCAGATGCCCCAGAAGGCTGCCGAGGTGATCGCCACTTTGGTCAAGGTCTGGAAGGAGGAGAAGGTGAGCTTCACTTTGCGCAGTTCCTTTCCCGTTCCTGGCACGCTCACAACGAACCACCGCACGTTCGATTTTGCGTCTCTAGGCTGCCAACGAGGCCGAGGCGCTGAGGGCCGACGTTAGCGCGCTGTGCACGCGCCGCCCAGATTTGTCGCCGACTGATATCCGCCACTACATCGAGCACAGGCGCGATTGAGTCTGCTGGCGGGATACGTGACACAGGGTAAAGTGTGACCTAGCCCGCCTCCGCGCCACCTCAGACGCGGCCTCCCGCGCGATGGCCTCATCGCCCTCGCCGACGACATCCTCGTCACCGTCCTCGCGGTCCCCGTGCCGGTCAGCGCCAGTCGCGGGCCTAGGGGGACTGCGTGGACGGCATCGCTTCAAGCCTCTGGGTGTGTCGTCAGGTCGGCTTCGACCTCGGGCTCGGCGCAGGCAGCGGCGGCATCGGACAAAAGTGGCCGCGCGCCAGCCAAGGGTACGGCGTCGGCCCGAACGGCATCGACCAACAGCTGCCCACCCTAGCGTGACGGCGTACCAACGCATGGCGTGGTTGGCGCAGGCATCTTCTACACGCCGCCCGCGCCGGAGACGCCCGCGCGCAACAGCTCGGCGCGCACTTCTTGGAACAACTTGTCAACCGAGTTCCGCTCCACCATGCCTTCGACGACGCGAAACTCAAGCCTGCTTGTGCGCCGCCGCCTCCGCTCCCTCCCCTTGCGCCACCTCGCTCGGGAAGCGTCCAAAGCCGACCTTTCTCCAGGCGCGAAATTCGCGCAACGCGGCCGACTTGCTCTTGCCGCGCCGCCGTGCGACCAACGAGGACGACGACGGCTCGCGGTCCAACACGCCGCAGCTCAACATGCCGGCGCGGCTGCAGTCCATCGAGAGCGAGCTGATGCCGCGCCGGGCGTCGGCGGCGGACCCGATCGAGCACGGCCTCGAGGGCTTCGCGGAGGAGTATAGCCCATGACATGAAAGGCGGGCGGAGGGCTTGCGTCCTGAAGCAGCTGTCTGTGAGAGATAGGCCTTGTGGTCGAGCCAGGTGTGAAGAGAACTCTGTGTCTGCGTGCTTGTGGGGCAGGGGGCAGAGAGGGCCCGGGTACAAAGTCAAAGAAACCAAAACAAAGAAACGAAAAACAAAAAGAACCGCGCACCACACTCCTCTCCTTAAAATCCCTGTGTGGTGGCGGCGGGCCGTTCTCCCATCCCTCCCTTGGGTTGTGTGTTTTCTTTCTTTCTTTCAGAACCGTGACGCGCACAGGATAAACACACACTTGGATATAAACAGCCCTGCCCAAGCGTCTCGTGTGATTTTTTGCGAAGTGAGGGCGCCTTTCTAATCTCTCTTTCTCTCTTCGCACAACACTGAGGACTGGGCACAGGACAGCTTAAATTCTTTCCTAGGTTGGGGTGGGTCGGGGTTGTGGGGTGGGGATGTCGGGGTGGGGGGTGGGGTGGGCGCCGGAGTGGGAGTGGTGTGACTGCTCCTGCGGTGAGGGCGACGGCTTCTGAGGAAGCCGTCGCCCGCGCCTCGCCTGTCGCGTGAATCGTGCTGTGCGACCGCCTTTGTTGTAACATTCTTTCGCGTGAAATACTTCTTTCTTTCCGTGTCCTCGACACGTACGTCCCGAAGAGACATTCTTTTTCCTTGGCGGCAACGCGATGGCGGCAAGCTCTTTGCGCGCCCGCCCTCGCCACGCCGAAGACCAACCGACGTCGGACCGCGGTGAGACCACGCCGCCCCCCGCGCCCGCCCGCGCCCGCAGCGTGAACACATACGCGCGTCCCTCACCGCACGGAAACATACGCGCCAGCCGCGCAGCAGCCTCACATGCAGCGCAGACCGCATGCCCGCGCCCTGGGCCGCCGACGACCCGGTCGGGCGGGCTGAGCGGCCGCCGCACACCACCAGGCAGGCGCACGACCACCCGCAGCGCGCCGCAGCCCGCCGCGCAGCCCTGCCAGCCAAGCCTGCACCTCCCAGCTGCACAAACAGGCGCACAACAGAGTACAGCACACAGCACACACGGCGGCGCGCGCGCAGCACACACAGACGCGCACGCGCATCCAACACGCACACGCGCACAGCACGCGCGCGTCGCACGCCAGCGCAGCGCTGCACACAGAGCACACTTGCCCACATCAGCAGCAGCCAGCCTGCCACAATCCTCATCTCACACACGCGCGCGCACACTCCCCCCTACCGGCGCACGCATTGGGCGTCGCCGAGAGCTCCCAAAGCTGACTTGTGTGGGCTGCTGGCGCCACGTCTGCGCGGCCATGGACTGAGGGGAACAGAGCACTCGAATCCGGGGGGGAAGCAC